AAGCGTATAGTTTAAACAACATTGATACATTGCTTTAGAGTATTACAGGATAGATATCTGAAATAGGCTGAGGTAAAGGTACCAGTAACTTTTATCAATAGCCACTCTCAACTTGTCTTTATCAAGATGGCCTCTTTCTGACCTCCTGCTCATCAGCCTTTTAATTCCATCCCCTACATGAGGACCCAATTAACTGGACACTCAAGTTAATCTCCAGGTCTCAAACTCAGCTGCGTACTCACATTAATTCCACATGGAGCCTACACATTGCATATTATTAACTCCAGTTGGCTGGATATGCTCATATAATTATAGCATACAGGATATAGTCATCTTTAGGGTATAAAATTATGTCTGCTGTCATCATTCATATGAAAACCAGTTAATAGGCATATTTCACCATCTTTATTTAAAAAAAAGAACAGCAATTTTACTAAGGTCAGAGCCACTGAATCACACACATATTCTTAAAAAGAAATACTTGTTTTTGATTGCTTTTTTGTAACAAGGTTTCACACTACAGCCCAGGCATGTTGGGAACTTAGGTAGTTGAGGGTGGCCTTAAACCCATAGTAACCCTCCTGCTTCTGACTCCTGGATGCTTATACTATAAGCATGAGCCACCATACCTGGCTTAAGAAATATTTTTCTGAATCACTAAATTTCAACATGTAACTGATTCAGTTCATCCTTAATTCAATGTTTGATTACAGAAGAAAAGGTGAAATGCACCAGACAGGCTTTTGGAAGACTCTAATTAGAATAAAAATTTCTGGATTATTAAAAATAAAATCTTTTACAGAGAATTGGGAAAGGTAGTTTGTTCTGATTAGAATAATGATCATGCATAAAGATGAATGCTGTTCTTTTTATAGTTTTGAAGCCCGTGGAAGCCACCACTCACAATGGCTCATGAAATGCAACAAGACTGTGGGTGGAAATATTTTGAAGAATATCACTCTGAGGGGTTTGCTCTGAGCCAAATTACGAGCAGACAGGCTTGGGCTCCGCCTTTTCAGTATATTTGAAAAACGTACAGGAGACAGAGGCTTAAAAGATAAGTAAATTTTGTAGTACAGATGTTCTATTAGTTACAAAACATTAAGTATTAAACAAATTCTCCTATACCAACACAGTTATCTCTGACATCTGCATGTACAGGATTTATTTTTTACAGAGATTAAAACAATTTTTAACCTCATGATTTTCATTTCCCTAAATAATGAGCAAATTCCAGGAATACTCCATTTAGTCAGTTCACTGAAATTTAAGGGATACAAATAAATGCACATGAAACTTTAAAAAGTGAAACATTTGAAAGTCAAACTTGAAGTTTTTTATCCCTGCACTGTCAGTACTAGCTCGGCCTTTTGCTTTCCATGTCTTTCTATATTTGTTAGTGTGTGTAGTCAGGAATTTATTGCTCATACTCATTTGGATGTACTTTTGATGTCTGCTGAACTATATTGCAAACCTATTCTCAGTTACTGAGTTGAGTTATTTAGTTTGTGAGCAGATTAAATAATGGGACTGACATATGTGTTTGGGAAGATGGCTCCTCGGGAGTTTTTATTTCTTAGGTCTCCAAAGCCATTCTTCTTGTTTAGGAAGATTTCCATTTTCATTATTGGTTTCTTCCCTAGCTAAACACTAGAGTCTCTTCTTTTGCTGCTCACACCTCTGCCAATTCACTGCCTGTCTTAGTTAAGTTTTATTGTTGCGAAGAGCCACCATGACCACAGCAACACTCACAAAGGACAACATTTAATGGGGGTGGCTTACAGTTTCAGAGGTCTGGTTCATTATTATCATGGTGGGAATCATGGCAGTATGTTGGCTGACATGGTGCTAGAGAAGGAGCTGAGAATTTTACATCTTGACCCAAAGGAAGCAGGAGACTGTGCCTCTCTGGGCATAGCTTGAACATAGGGGACCTCAAAGCCCACCCCTACAGTGACATACTTCCTCCAACAAGGTCACACTTACTCCAAGAAGGACATACCTCCTAATAGTGCCACTCTCTATATGGGCCAAGCATTCAAACACATGAGTCTATGAAAGCCATTCCTAATCAAAGCACTAAATTGCCCCAGGGTTTCTTGCAGAACTGATGGTAAAGAAAACAGTGTTTGCAATGCTAGTATTCTCTAGCTCAGCCCTTCTCTAGGCTTCAATCTTTTTTCTCTCCAAATTTTCTTCTTTCCCAGGGAATGCTAACTGATTGTATTTTTACCAAAGAAGTTTGAAGATAGTGTCTTAGGGTTTACTGCTGTGAACAGACACTATAACTAAGGCAAATCTTATAAGGATAATAATGTAATTAGGGCTGGCTTAAAGAGGTTGAGTCCATTATCATCAAGGTGGAAGCATGGCAACATCCAGGCAAGCATGGTGTAGGAGTAACTGAGAGTTCTACATCTTTATCTACAAATACAAAATTTAAAATACAAATACAAAAATTAAAATCAAATATACATATAAGTATAACAGCAAACAAGGACAGAACTGCTGTCTACTCATGTGACTTAAGTTGAGAACACTCCATTACATTTAAAGAAATCTAAAGGGTGAAGACTAGACTTTCAAGATGGCTCATCTGGTAAAGGTGCATGTGGCCACGCCTGATGTCCTGAGTTTGGTCCATGGGACCAACATAGTGGAAGGAAAGAACCAACTCAGTCAAGTTTTATTCTGGCCTCCACACATGGTTCCCCTACCCCATGCATGTGAAATATCACACACACACACACACACACACACACACACACACACACACGCATGATAAAGAATGACGACTCAGGCCATTCTAAGAACAAAGAATGGAACGTCCTCTCTCCCTTACAACGGTACTGTTCTTGGGAATTAACTTGTTGCCTTTCACTATCCTAAACCTTAGGAACCCACTATGATACAAATGGATTCATGTAAGCACGCAGAAAATTCTACGGAAAATTCTACGGAAGGCTGAACAATAGCCAATAGCTGTCCACTGCTAACACTGTGTCTGATGGTTGGCAAGGATGGCCACATTTGATTTTCTAACACGATCTAGTAATTAGGAACAGTATTTCTGCAAAAACTGAATCTGAAACAGTCCTATGGCTCCACTTTGCCCACTTGGCACATAGTGTGAAAATCCTACAAGCAAATCAACACTCGTCTGAATTTCTACATTCCAGTTATTTAAAAGAAAACCAAATACATGTGAAAAGTTCTAATATTCCAGGCAGGATTCCAATAGATACTTTAAATGAGAGCTTACTAAGAGTAGAAAAGGGGAAGCTGGGCGGTGGTGGCACACGCCTTTAATCCCAGCACTTGGGAGGCAAAGACAGGTGGATTTCTGAGTTCGAGGCCAACTCGATCTACTAAGTGAGTCCCAGGACAGCCAGAACTACACAGAGAAACCCTGTCTCGAAAAACAAACAAACAAACAAACAAACAAAAGAGCAGAAAAGGAGACTCTACAGATCGTAGGTTATAAGCCCTCAAGTGTTCAGAGTAGTGGGAGAGGGCCTAGGACCCTAAGACTCCATGCAGGAAACAGCCACAGCCTTTTCTGTGGTTATCTGATTGGCATTAAAGTACTCGTTTTCTGTATGATCTTCGTACTACATCTGTTGAAAAGCATGGATCAAAAGGGCCATCCAAAATTGCAAATGATCTCCAGGAAAGAAGACAACTATAAAGGATCCTACTTGTGATGGTTTGAACATGCTTGGCCCAGGGAGTGGCACTATTTGGAGGCATGGCCTTGTTGGAAGAGTGTGTCACTGTGGGCGTGGGCCTTAAGACCCTCCTTCTGGCCAAGGAGGAGGAGGGTCTATAAAACAGCATGAACTCGAGCTTTCTGTGCTACTGGTCAGTTCTACCATCTGTATAGAGCACAGACACCCAGAACCGCTGAATAAATTATACTGACCTGTGAAATTTATTTTTAATAACATTTAAAAATACGTTTATTTTTTACTTTATTAATAATTCAGACACTAATTTTTTGGTTTTGTGAGATGGTGTAGCTCTAACTGTCCTGGAACTCATTCTGTAGGCCAGGCTGGCCTTGAACTCACAGATATCCACTTGCCTCTGCCTCCTGTGTGCTGAAATTAAAGGCGAGCGCCCCCAACACTGGGCTAGGCTCTAATTTTTGAGGATCAGTGATGGTAACTTCCCTTTTGTGCAATTGGGAAGTCTAAGGTTGCAGAACTAACCCGCAGCAACGTTCCTTCTTAATTTGCAGCTGTTAGCTTTATTCCCCTCATACTGACTTGAAGCCTGGAAACCTGGGCCTAATTAAGCACTAAGTATTTAACTGGAGAAGAGGGTGGCTTTTCACAGCTTCGTTCCAAAGGTCCCAAGTCAGATCAAGTAGATGCACATGTGTGGGGAGGGTCTATCTCTAGGCAAACTCTGAGTCCCGGGTTCCTTTCTACTGTTAGGCGAGAGTTGGCGAGCGAGCGTGCACTCCAAGGTGCGCACGTGGAGCGCAGGAGCCATTTAAACTAGCGAATCCGCGTTCTCGGTGCTGACCCGGTAGACACTCCGAGTCCCGACTGTCCTCTACCCCTCTGGGCGGCGGTTGGGACGAATCGCTTCCCCAGAGGGTCGAGAGCGCAGTTAGGGGCAGTGTGGCGGGCGCACCCCGCGTTTCCTGTCACAGCGCGGCCGTGCCGCTCCCTCCCGCCGTGGCGGGACCATTTCCTGAGCGTCCGGGCGCAGGCGGCCGGCGCGGCGCTACCATCAGCGAAGGGAAGCGGGGGTGCGGCCGGAGAGCGCGCGAGGGCAGCGGGGCGGATCGCTGCGGGACCTGGGGCTCGAGCGGCACCGGCGGCAGTGTGCTCTTTAGATTACTTACTGGGGGCTGCAGTTCCGCGTTAAGGCCGAGCCGGCCAGCGAGGCGCGCGGCCCCGGAGCATCCTCCCCCACCGCGCGCGCTAAGGTGGGACTGCCCGGAGGCGGGCGTCGGGCCCCCAGCTCCGCGGCCCCCGGAGCGCTCGGGACTCGCTGATCGCGGGCTCGGCGGCAACATGTCTGTGGCGTTCGCAGCCCCGAGGCAGCGGGGCAAGGGCGAGATCACGCCCGCCGCCATCCAGAAGGTGAGCTGGAAGAGGCGCCGGGACGCGGGCCGAGGCGGGGTGGCGTGGGGGCGGGCTGACGCCGGCTTCCCGACCGAGCCCTTTGGCGCCTGATCTGTCCGCACAAAAGCGCCGGCAACCGCCGCCCGATTTCCCCGTGGGCCGGGTGGCCTCGCGACGCGGGGCCGGGAGGGAAGCGCCCCCCGAGACTCGAGACTCCGGCGTCGCCCCGCCCCGCCGGGACCCCACTCGCGGAAATCCGAACCGAGAGTGCTGTGCCGCAAACTCCTCGGAGTTGAGGCCCTCTCCGGAGAACTTGGAAGCCTTCCGCAATGGCTCGGGGCAGACGAGGAAGGAGCCGGGGGCTCGGAGGCTCCCTGGGGGCGCACCCGGGGTCCGTTCCGGTCTGCAGCAGATAGATGCGCCTGAGCGCGCAGGGCGGGCGCTAGGGTTCCGGAGGGCGAGCCTGCTCTTGCCGGCCGGGCTCTGTTGGCCGTCTACACCGGGCGGTTTGCATGAAGTCAAGATAGAAGCCCTGGGAGCTGCGTCCTCAGAGAGTGCCACCCAGTTGCTGCTCCGGGGCTGCCAATTGGGGACACAAAGGTTCTTTATCATCCTCTGAGCTTGTGTCTAAAAGCAAGGCACTATTCTAGATCTCATTGTGGTAGACTTTAAAAAGTCGCCTGTTAAGTTTAACAGTTTGCCCTGAGTATTTCCATCCTGTTCCCTGTCCTGGAGTAAGGTTAAGGAGAGCAAGTCAACCTGTAGTACCAGTCGGGGTACCCGTAGAGACCTGTGGGTTACAGCCATCGGTTTCTGTTTACTGTCAGGGTCTTTGTAGTGTGGCATTTGACATTTGCCCAACTGTTGCTTTATTTTCTTTGAAGAAACCCGCCAGGCAGTGCCTGGAAACGCAGTTGGTTTCTCTAGTGTGCCAGGTTGAGCCTGTAGTCTGGTGAACAGCTTTCTTTAAGCACACACGTGCAGAAAGCATGTTTCTGAAAGGATTCTTTTTGAACTCTAGAAAAAGTCTGGCGCTTTTCTTTTTCTCAGGTTTTTTCTTATATAAGTCTATTAGTTGCTTATCGTGAGTGATTGATCTAGTGCTAACTGGTTATTTTTCATTCTCAGATGAAAAGTGAAAAATGGATTAAAATTCTTTTGTTATTTTATGCGTATGTGTACATCTTGTGCATGCAGTGCTTGGGGAGGTCAGAAGAAACATCAAATTCCTTGAAACCAGAGTTATTTAACAGCTTCCTTGTAGGTGCTGGAAACCAAAACCAGGTCCTCAGCAAGAGCATTAAGTGCTCTTGTCCTCTGAACCGTCACTCCAGTCCCCCAAAAGTATTCTGATTCAAGTTTTGTTTGTAGTGTCAGACTGTATTAGACAGGAGACAGATGGTTGGAGTTGTTTAATGTGCCATGAATTCCTTGGTTGAGTGTTGAATTGCTGGCACTCAGAAGGCAGGCAGATCTCTGAGATTGAGGCCAGCCTGGTGTACAGAGTTAGTTCCAGGGTAGCCAAGGCTACACCCTATCTCGAAAAAACAACAAGAACAAAAACAGTAACAAGAACAAAACAAGACAAAAATTTTTTTTTGTGTCTAGTGATTATATTTAAGAAGCACACCTTAGAAAAGCGTTTGCTTTTAGCAGTCGAAGATTATGATAAATGTGCAGGAAATAACAATTAATTGTAATTGGATCTTATTTTTAATTGAAAATCACATTAAATGATTTTTGGTGTTGTCACCTGGTATTCATTAAATTATGAACTTGGGGCATGCTCAGGATATCCCCCTAAATTTTAAGCTCCTACAAACTTGGGTGGTATGCTAGGGACTCCCAAGTAGGTTTTCTTGTTTAGTGACATTGGCATAGATGAATTACTTAACCCTCAAAACCAAGGTTGCTTAGATTGTTATAAGGTGGTAAAATGATAATTGATATATATTACGGTTTCTAAACTTCCTGAGATACCGCATTTTATATTACAAACTTAAAAATTCTATTAAATACATTAAATGCATAGAGATCGTTGCTATATGTCGGTTTGGAGAATCATGAATCTATACAGTTAGAAAAGAAACTAACCAGTTAGCTCAGGTCCCTCTGGCAGCAGTGCTTCTGTGCTTATTTTCTTCTGGAGAAGAACAGATTTTCTCCTTCACATTATAGAGCACGAGACTGCTCCAAAATCAACTGGGAGCCAGCTTCCAACTAGTAGAAATTACTGTTACAGATAGTAGAGGTAGTTAAATGTTTCTGTATTTAAAACAAAACAAAACACCCCAAAACAATGGCTTAGAGGATGGCTCAGCTGGGTTCAAGGAGAGAACCAGTGCCACAGAGTTGTCCTCTGACCTCATACCAAGGCACACGAGCGTAAGCAAGTGTGAACTGGAGCTCTAACACATACACACACACTCTCTCTCTCTCTCTCTCTCTCTCTCTCTCTCTCTCTCTCTCTGATAAAATAAGGCAGAAGAAACCCCCACTTTCCCTTCTGAGTTTCAAAGAGAGTGATTGAAATCGGTATTAAACATACTGATTAAATGTGACATCATTACACATGTACAAAGTAAGATTTTTTTTTCTTTTTTCAAGATCGAGTTTCTCTGTGAAGGCCTGACCCTCCTTGAACTCACTCTTGTAGATCAGGCTGTCCTTGAACTCACAGAGATCTTCCTGTTTCTGCCACCCAAGTGCTAGGATTAAAGGTATGAGCTACCTCTCAACCAGCTTGTAGGATTTGTGTATGTGTGGCAAGTTATGAGCACTATATTAACAGAAGACCCCAGTAGGCTCACTTTCTATGTAGATACGACATTTCTAGAAAGATTGAAATGATGAAAAATCAGTTGTTGCAGAATTATCTATGCGAGTCTTGTATAGCATATTTCATAAGTGATTATGCATTTTAACAGCAATGGAAAATTTTAACCAGTTAGTTCAATCTCATGTTTCTTACAATGAATTTTAAAATATTTTGTCAGAGCAAGTAGAAACACTGTCACAAAATAATTCTAAGAGGGTGGTGTTTCCCATGTTCTCCAATCATGTTTCAATCATGTTTCATGATTTTGTCATCTGTAATGGTGGCTTCGAGGAAACAATATTTTGTTTTTCGGAAGTGCCTTTGTAGTGTTCATCAATATTGTCCTTCTCTCTTCTGACTTCTTAGTTTTTAATTTTACTCGATGTACTAGGTTTATAATTAAACTCTCTGGTTTTTATTTCAGATGCTGGATGAAAATAACCATCTTATTCAGTGTATAATGGACTATCAGAATAAAGGGAAGGCCTCGGAGTGCTCTCAGTAAGACAGACAAGCTCTTTGTCTTGGGTTTTCTGGTTGTTACTTGTTACTTTTCCTTTGAGCAACAGCTTTAGTGGGTTATATTATTTCAAAATGTACATTTCAGTCTTTTAAAATGTACTTGTAGAGTTGTGGTCCTGTTACCTCAGTTGGTTTGAGAACATTTTAATCATTCCAAAAGAAAAACAAACGTTTATTGGCCATCTTTGGGAATCTTTCCCACCAACCTCTTACCCCCATAACCTACTTTCTAGTGGTATAGGCATGACTATTGCAGACCTTTTGGATAAATGGATTCCAGCAGTGTGTGGACTGTTTGGACTGACTTCTCTCCCCTCGCTCTGTGGTTTTTGAAATAGTGTCCTGAAGCCCGGGCTAGTGTCAGACTTGGGATCCCTGTCTCTGCCTCTCAAGTGCACATGGTGGGGTGTGCCAGACATCTAACTCTGGTTGACGTTTTTCACACAGCTGACTGGTGCTAAAATATTTATACCCAAATGATGACAAATACATGCACTTTTTCCCTCCCTCCCTGTCCTCCCCCACTTCTCTCTCTCTCTTTCCCCTAAATAATGACTTTAAACTTTTACAGAGCCTCATTTATAGAAAAGTATAATCTTAGTCTTGTGATGGTCTGGCCACACACCTTTAATCCCAGTACTTGGAAGGTACAGGCAGACAGATCTCTTAAGGCTGAGGCCAGTCTACAGATTAAGTTCTAGAACTATACAGAGAAACCCTGTCTTGGTGGCGGAAAAAAAAAAGAAGGAAAAGAAAGAAAAAGAAATTTTCATGTTTGTAGTTACTTCTGAAAATACTGATGCTCTAGAGAACTAGTTACCGTTTACAAGGACCAAACTTTCAAAGTGATCTCTCTGAAGTAAGTGTTATACCATAATAGAATCAGAGGTGAGCATGGCCAGGAATACCAGAACCTTTAAAGCAGGAGAATTATAAATTCAAGACCAGCCTGAGCCACATCTCAAGACCCTGTCTTAAAATAACCAAAAAACCATAAAAACAGATCACCAGGAGAATCTGAGTTTGTGATGTGTCTAGGGCTGCAGTGTCCAGCAGATACAGATACAGATGACATGTTTTCTAGTAGATCACATAAGGAAGAAGTGACACTCATGTGCTTAATTTATGTTTTATAAAATACTGTCACCTCATTGTGTAACCAGCATCCCAGCTTGGAGAGATCTCACACCCCTTTCCATTCTAAGCTGTATGGAGTGTGTTGGGTTAGAACCACATGTGTGGTTTTGCTGAGTTTGGAAACTGCTGCCCTGGAGAGCGTGGCTTTAGGACATTTCACTCAGCCACAGGGTGTGCGGTGTGCGGCTTGCCCTTTCCTGGAGGTCTCCCTGGCCGCTCTTGGGAGATAGCCCCAGCGAGACCACTTGCTTGCTTTTCCACCTTTGTTCGTCTGTCTCTTGCTCTCTGGTGATTTACTCTACGTCTCAATTTCAAGTCTCTCTTGAGTCTTTGTCCAAAGTTAGTTTTAAAATAAAAATCTATGTTTACTATTATAAAACTTTTATGGCTCCCTCTTCTTATTTCCCATTATCTTCATTCCTTCTCTATGAATTTATGTCAATATACATAGATCATGATCTAATGTTTATAGAAGTGATTTTTTTTCCTTTTCGTCTTGTTGGGCAAGGATCAAGTTTAGGACCATGTTTCTGTTTGGCAAGTGCTGTCCCCAATGAATGAATGTCAGACGTAGGCTGTAATTCTTAAGTGGATTACTAGGTCAAAAACCATGCTAAATTGCCAAAGTACTCTGCCAAAAATTTCCTTGCTTTACTTCATCCCTGTCCTGGTGTGCCAGCCCTAGGTACTTCTCATCTTTTACAAAATTATGACTGATTGGTTAAAAACTAAAGTTTTTAAATAAATATTCTTTCAAAGCATTTTCTACTTTATAAAAAAGACTCAATGATAGTAAAATTACTGTATATCCTTTACTGAAATTCTCTAGGTGTCAACAGATTAGCCCAATCACTCTGTATTTCATAGATATTTGAGAATGATTGATGAGAATGTGTTATGTTTAGTAACCCAAGTTTTTCCTAAAGTCTGTAATGCTTTCCCAGTTAGTGTGTCCTTTTCAGATCCCAGTGTGGCTCATCTTTTGCATTTGGTGGGTATGCTTTAACTGTAGCTGCTCCTCAGACTTAATGTTCCCCAGTGTTGACGTTGTTGCAGAATGCCGTTATTCTGTGGTGTACTCCTCAGTTAAGTCCCAATTTATGTTTCTGCATCATGAAGTTCACACTGTGCCCTATGGTGTTAGTGTGACTGTCCCCTCCCTAGTTGAACAGCAGCAGCTTGTTCCAGTATCAGTGGTAGCTTTGATCGCTTAGCTAAGCTGGTGCCTGCTGTTTCCTCTACCAAAGAGTTACTGGTTTATTTGTAATTCATGCGTATATCACTGGGCAGGCACCTTGAAACACACACATCTTTCCTGATTATGCTTCAACATATTAATTTTAGTAGCCACTAATGATTTTCCCCCATGATGGTTATTACCATTATGGTTGTCAAATGATGCCCAGGTCCACCATTCCTAAACTCATGTGGAATTCTGCTGTGAGAGGTCATCTTTCATCCTCTCCCTCCACTCAGCATTTCACGCCTTTGCATTTGAATGGAGGTGTACATTTCTTCTGTGTTCTTCATTACCTGTGCCTCTGTCTAATACCTTGGTTTCTTTCTTGGGTTGTTCTAGATCTGGCTACTAGAAGCCTTTCTGTCTGGCTTCTTGACATCTCTCTTAAATTTTGAGAAATTTATTTTCCTGTACCATTACATGTTTTAGTTTTTACCTTGTATTTCTTCTTGTACAAATCTGGATTCATCTTTCTCTTAAGATCAGATTGGTGGTTGTTTTGTTTGTCTAAATATGTGTTGAAATATCGAAACCAAAACATTAATAATCAGATTATCCTGTTTTCTAATCACACATTTGGCATTTTGTATGACCATTTCCATTTTTGTTTCTTCAATAAATTTTGTCGGTATATATTTGATATTTTATTTTAAAAAGTAGTCATCTAATCTGTGGTTTGGTCATGTATGATCATCGGGAGTGAGACCACTCCCTGAAGCCAGGCATGCAGGCACTACCACGGTAATTCTTTTTACTACCTATGGCATTTAGGAACCTGCTGTAGAACAGGGTTGAAGCTTACATTTTGCCCTTCTTTTTGAGTTTTATGACTCTATTTCACATTTAATCAAACAAGTTTTGCTATGTCACTTAGGACCACCCTTAATTCTTGGGTGTTGGAGTTTTATTTTATGTTTTTCAGGTTCCTGTATTCTTTCACAATTTCATACCTGTCTCTGATGTGCTCTGATGGGATTCTCCCCCATTATGTTATCTTACCCTCACCCCTTCTACCAAACCTTCCTACCAAGACCTACTGTGGCTTTCATGTCTGTGTGTGTGCGTGTGTGTGTTCCTCCTGTTACAGCCTCAGAGAAGCTTGATCAGAGATCTGAGCTGCAGTTCCCTCTTTGATTGGTTATCTTTCTTTTGGTATTTGCTCTTTTCCAAGTTGTTGATGCAGCTTGTGAATAAAGAGAAAAACATTCTTGCTCTCAGCACTGACCCGTGCTCCTGTTTCTCGTGTTGACGCTAAAGGAAAATGCAGAGGAACATTAGTGAATGACAGCTCTCTGGGAATTAAGAGTCTGATGTTGATTAAATGTTTCCCTTGAATCAGCTTTGTGAATTAAACATAACTTATTTCTGTTGTGGGTGAGAGAGAATCTTTGAGGCCCACCATCTGAAGGAGTTATCCACAGCTAGTGGTTCTGGGAGAAGGGAGTCCTGTTCCTGGGGTGCCCTGCATGAGTAAATAACCCCCACTTGCTATTGCAGCAACCCTAATTAATGCAGTGGATCCCCCACCCCATTGTGAAAGAAAACATGAATGTGAAAAAAAATCCACCTCCCTACACTCAACAAAACAAGAGTTTTAGCTAGATGACTCACATCTGTAATCCCATCACACAGAAGGCTGAGGCAGGAGGATTGCCACGAGTTCCAGGTGAGCCTAGACTATATGAGACCCTGTCTTAAGAAAAGAAAACCAAACAAGTCCTTACCATTTTAAAACTGTTGATAGTATTTGCATTGTAAAAGAATTAGAAAACAAATACATTTAAAACAAGATATGAGCACACCCTTACACAGGGATTCCCAGGAGTGAGTCTTCCCTGTGTATAGTTCTGGCGTTGTCTTCAAAAGACACAAAACTAACCTGTGTTAGTCTGTAAGTCAGTGGTTAGAAGCGTTACATAGGCCATGTTCTTCCAGGTTTGCTAACACAAATTTGAGACTGTTATTGCTTCTGTCTATGTGGTTTGGATGTTTTCTAAGTCAGTCCAGAATTTGCTTTAATCAGAAACCCCTCCCTCCCTTTTTTGGTATTTTAGGACGGCTACAACTATTTCAGAGTGTTTTATAAATTTTAATGCCAAAAGCTAGTATTGGTTATCGTTTAGTGGAATCTTAGTTTAAACTACTATTCACCAAACTAACTTTTATCCTATAAACTATAGTTTGACCATAGAATATGTGTTGTGTTAAAGTTATTTTTAAAATAAATTTAAACTTTTCAAATTAATTTTTAATGAATAAATTTAGGACTGGTCATTTTGTTTTATGGTAGGTAATACATCTTGTCTTTAGTGGTGTCTTTAGGGACTGATGGCTCTTTCAATAGTGAGCATAGACATTTGGAAGTACCTGTTAGAACATGTTAGGACCAGACAGTCATCAAACATATGGTTTTAATGGATGTAACTGTGGCTGGCTTCCAGCAGGTCCCATCATCAAATGTAAGATGTAAATATAATTGATAGTCTCCCATTAGTTATATGTTCATATTTCTTGTGTTAACATAGTACTGAGAACAGGTACAGTGAAGTTTAAAGATAAGACACCATAGAAGGCACTGTCAGCCAGTTTTGTCATGGTGTGACCGTTACAGAGCACACTACATAGGCTGAGGTGGCAGCTGTGCACCGTGGGCACACTGGGGATACCCACTCCATCCTCGACTGAGATGTAGAGGAGCATAGCCATAGGGACTGCAGTGACAAGTGTAATGGTACTTATAGACTAGAACATGAAAGCTTTTGTCTTAGCTTTTTGATGAATATTACTTATTTTTCTTACTGCAGTTTTACTCCAAAGGGCACCTGCTAGCCTGGATTATTGGTATCTGCCTATAATCACAACATTATGGAGTTTGAAGCAAGAGGATTACTAATCCAGATAAAGATCTGTCTCAAAATAAAGTGAGATAAAATGACTGAATTAGAGGCCAGTTTGGTCTATGTAGTTAGTTCTGGGGCCAACTTGAACTAAATTGAGACGCTGCCTCAACAAATAAACAAAACAGCAGAAAAATAGAAACTACAAGTAAACTTGCATTTGTCCACCTTCTTATGTTAGGAAAAGAACTTCTAGGCAGTAGGGTGCATTGGCATGGGCTCTCCGTGCTGGATAGGGTACTGTTAGTGATGGACGTTAGTGTTCTTGTGGGGTGGTACTCAGGGGTGGGCTACCCTTGTTTAATGTGGGTTGGCATTGAAATGTGTTTGCAACTGTTAAATGCTTTTGACAAACCAGATGTGTGCATAGACATGGGGCAGAATGAAGGGACAGATGCTATAAAATACTACTCAAGAGTCTGGAGAAAGGTGTAAAGGTTTCTCCCTATTCATTCCTGAAACTTCTGAAAACTTAAAATCATTTCAGAAGTTAGATTTGATGTTGAGCACAGTTGGGTAAATATCTTGAAATTTTAACTGAGTTAAGGTGTGAGTATAGACACTTAAAGGCACAAGAGGCTTTCGAGGCGTGCAGTGACTTCCTAAGGGCAGACCAGCCTAAGTAAGACATACTTGTTATGTCACAAGTAGGCAAAGGCTTCAGGTTGGGCATGTTCACCTGCCATGGGGTAGTCATGTAGTTAGTCGTTCACCTGCCATGGGGTAGTTAGTCATGTAGTTAGCCGTGTTCACCTGCCATGGGGTAGTTAGTCATGTAGTTAGTTGTGTTCATCTGCCATGGGGTAGTTAGTCATGTAGTTAGTCGCATTCACCTGCCATGCTGCCATGGGGTAGTTAGTTAGTCATGTAGTTAGTCGCGTTCACCTGCCATGCTGCCATGGGGTAGTTAGTCATGTAGTTAGTCGTGTTCACCTGCCATGGGGTAGTTAGTCATGTAGTTAGTCGCGTTCACCTGCCATGCTGCCATGGGGTAGTTAGTCATGTAGTTAGTCGCGTTCACCTGCCATGGGGTAGTTAGTCATGTAGTTAGTCGTGTTCACCTGCCATGGGTTGGTTAGTCTCACACTCTCACTTGTGGATCATACCAACATAGGAAGACTCAGAGAAGAAAGGAGACTTGAAAACGTAGGCTTTAAAGTCAGTGTGTGTTGCAGTTAAAAGTGTCTGCATGGTCCTGCCAGCCGACTCAGCAGGTAAAGGTGCTTGCAGTCACCAAGCCTGGCTTTAGTTTGATCTCCAAGACCCACCTGGTGGAGGGAGAGAAGTTGTGGTCCTCATGTTGCTTCCACCACTGTGGATACAATTTTTAAAAATGGGTGTTTGAGAGCTGGGCATGGTGGTGCATGCCTAAATCCCAGCACTCAGGAGGCAGAGGCCAGAACTTAGGCAGCCCGATCTACAGATTACAGAGTGAGTTCCAGGAGAGCCAGGACTACAAAAAGAAACCCTGATTCAAAAAGAGTGAGTTGGAGAGGAGGCTGTTTGGTTATTTTTGTCATCAGTGCAAGGTACTGTTAAGTTCCAGGTAAGACTTGTATAGAGTAGTGAGACAGTCCCAACTGCTGCCTGCGGCCGGTGGAGTCTGGAGAATTGCATAAGAGCTCCCTTGGTCCTTGTTTGCGCAGGGACCTTATAAAAATGCCTCCTTTCAGACACAGTGTGTGAGGAGTGGGCCTAAAAGTGTAGGTTTCTTAATGAGGGACCTGTGATCAGCAAAGAACCAAGTTTCTCTTGTTAGAAAAATTGCAGTTGGTTGCTTACAACAAGGCTAGAGAATTATTTCAGTTTGGATCTGAATTAGAATGCTTCATTTATCTGAATAAAATTCTTTGACGTTGTCATTTTAAATTTATAGCTAGTATCTATAATAAATGAGTTTCAGCTTTTGAGAAATGGTCTTGCTGTATTCCCAGGCTAGCTTCTCAAGTGCTGGGGCCATAGGCCTTTGCCACCATGCCTGGCCTGAGGAACATGAAGACTTAAATAGTGGAACGTTTTGGTGGAGGTTTTAAATTTGTATTTATGGGGCTTGCTCTATTCATGTACTGAAACCAAACAGTAATTAGATCACTGCTAGTTTCTGGTTTTATATGAGTTAACTTTAAAAAATTACAAAGTGACTCTAACTAATTATTAAGCAACATTACCAAAAGCCGTTGTTCTAGCATTATTTAGCCATACAGCCCACGTCTTAAGAATTTGAGTTACAGTTTTAAAGTGAATTATTCTTCTGCCATTTTGTTCATGTCTGCTGTGGCATTTTTAAGTTGATTGATGAGTACCTTGTCCGTTTTGTTGGTAAAGTGTCCTTATAGAAGAGGGGTATTGGGCTGGTGAGCTGGCTCAGTGGTTAAGAGCACTGTCTGCTCTTCCAGAGATCATGAGTTCAAATCCCAGCAACCACATGGTGGCTCACACCATCGGTAATGAGATCTGATGCCCTCTTATGGTGTGTCTGAAGATAGCTACAGTGTACTTACATATAATAAATAAATTTTAAAAACCTTAAAAAAGTTAAAACAACAACAATGACAAAAATTTAATATAAAAAAAAAAAGAAGAGGGGTAATGGGGCTTGCTCTATTCATGTACTGAAACCAAACAGTAATTAGATCACTGGGTTTAGGCATTTAGGCTTAAACAGTAATTAGATCACAAAAATTAATATAAAAAAAAAGAAGAGGGGTAATGGGGCTTGCTCTATTCATGTACTGAAACCAAACAGTAATTAGTAATTAGTGATCACAGTGGGTTTTACAAGAACCACAATGGAGGAATTCAATGACATGCTCACCACCCCAGGTACTGGAGAGTGTCAGTTGGAATTATTTTGCAAAGGAAATAAGAAACGTTGAAGTATTATTGATACAAAGGTAACATCTTTCATTAAGCTCTAAAAATAATTATAGTGCTGTTTGTTTTTAAGCAGGTTGTAAGAATTTTTTTAATATTGGTATTTGTTTTGTTTTAACAGGTATCAACAGATATTGCACACAAACCTGGTATACCTTGCTACAATAGCAGACTCTAATCAAAATATGCAGTCTCTCTTACCAGCAGTAAGTACCTATACAGGAGTGTGGGTGAATGTCTCCACAGCTGTGTGATATCACGGGGTTTTGTTTCTTGAATGCTGTGTTGTTTTACTCTCTGATTTGAATGAATTGTCCCCAAACCCTCCCTGTTTAGTTTATTTTTAATTACTAAGTAAGTTGCTAATGGGTCTGGGCATTTCATTTCAGTGTTAACCACTTTCACCCGAATCTCTAGCTACCAGAACTATTGGCCTTCACAGCAAAGTCAACCAGATGCCTAGTGTCTTAGAATGTCTAACCTCTTCCTTTTCATCACTTTACTCAACAAACTTTTGTGCGATTGTCCCAAGGCCAGACAAGATGCTGGAGAAACTGCTATATCTGCCAGTTCATGCTTTTGTATCTACATCTGTTTGTTGGGGAAACTGAGTCACTTGCTGTGCAACCTCTCACACTCTGGATTCTGTCTCACAGAATCTATAGATATAACATGTCCCTGTTTCTCAGTGACATAAACTGGTACGTAGGTGGGAGACTCAGCTGAGTCTGAGGTTGTTCTAGGTTTCTTTTGGGTCAAGTCAAGAAGATATGCTTTCAGGATCCCAGATTCCAAACTACTCATCTTTTATGCCCAAGATGTGGGAGCAGTGGCTTTCATTGGGGTTTTCTTTCATTTTTGTTTATTTGGGGATTAGGACTAGGGTCAGTTTGAATGCTTGGACATTGTTATTACAAGATATGCATGGTTATTGGGCCCTTTTACTTGACAAAACTGGAATTTTTGTTTTTTAAATATTGAGATCTAAGAGATATTTCTACTCCCAGAAATAGTTTTGGTTATTTTATTTTACTGAGACAAGGTCTCCCTTTATAGCCCTGGTTGGCCTAACATTTGCTGTGTTTAATTCACACCTGCCTCTGGTTCGTAAAGGCATGCTCACCTCAGAAACTGTTTGACCTAGTTGTGATTTTGTGGTTAGTGTCCCCTGTCTCCATCCACAGCTTACAGAGGATCTCTGGGTAATATGTGTAGTGGAACATGCGAATCCGACAACAGAACTCTGTGACCTTAAGCTACATCCTGTGGGGATAGTTAGTTCATTTAGTTTTGAACATGAAATCGTTTGTATGAATATTGTCGTAAACTTCATTACCCTTGAGTTGATTTTGCAGACAGTGGGAGGAATTGGCTTGCTTGTATTCACTTGCATATGGCTGCTTCTCTCTCAGTATGCTTGGAAATTACCTTTTTTCATCTGGTTTATCAAGTATTGGTGTATGTGTGGACCTGTATCTGACCTTTGTTCTGTTGGTCTTTGTAAGTAAATTCCATGATCTCATCACACCTGATCATGCCGTTCTTCCTTCTTCCCCTCCTCAGGAGTGGTGCTTCTGGCTTTCTTTCCTGTCCCATCTTTGTTTTTCAGTGCCTAACATCTGCATGGATGTATGGTGTAGTTTGAGTCTTAGCGCGTGGAAGCGCAGTGGGATCTGAGCCTTCACTGTGCGTTCTTTAACGGCTAGCATCTTGCTCTCTGTACTTATAGTTGTGTCATTTGTTCCCTGCCAGTCCTGACCCCTCTGTTCTTAGAAGTGATAACACAGGACATCCCTGTCTGGCTCCTGATCTCACAGGGAGAGATTCAACTGACTAATAAGTGTGATGTTGACTGTAGTATTGTATAGAAAACTCTTGTGGAAATAAGTAGAAGTGAGTCTGCTTTGGTTTCTGATGTGCTAATTAAACTGTGTATCTTGAGTGAGTTGTACCTAACTAGGTGATCTTGTGCTTTTCTTCAGTCTGTCAGGGTAGTAATTTACATTGGTAAGCTGACCAGTAACTCCTGCTTAGTAGTTTCCTATGTCTGACTCACTTGGTCATGGCCTTTGCTTGGTGGCTTTTTTTTTTTTTTTTTTGAGATGGGACATCTCATTGTAGCTGAGGTTGTCTTGAACTTGCTGTGTGGTCCAGGCTGGCCCTGACACTTAGGATTCTGCTTTTGTTTCTGAGGTGCTGGGATTACAGGTGTATGAGTGAGCACACCCAGCTTGGTCACTGTACAGAATACCTGTTGTGTTTGACTTTATCAGGGTTTTTGAATCTTTGTAACTGATCTCTGATTTTTCTTTCTTATAGTGCAGTTGTCTGGTTTTTTATTGATTGTTGCAGGCTTCATAAAATGAAATGGAATTTTCTTGCTTTTTCCTATGTGAAAAAATGTGCTGAGTGTGACTTTAAATGATTGCTGTGTGCTTCTGAAGAATTGTACCTGCATATAGTTTCCTTAGCATTTTAAATTTATTTCTATAAAGTTGATGAGATAATCTTTTAAATAATAATAGGATTGTTTGTTTGTTTGTTTGTTTGAGACCATTTGTCTGAGACAGTTTGTTTCTCTGTGTATCCCTGGTTGTCCTGGAACTTGCGTTTTAGAGTAGCCTGGCCTTGAACTTAGCCTCCCAATTACTGGGATTACAGATATGTGCCGTTGCTGCCCAGCTGGAATCTTGATTTGTTAGCGTAATAACTTATATTGTCTCTTGTGACTTTTCTGCCAATCTTGATAGACATAGATGATCTATTTTTAAAATCTTTTTAAATAATCAATTTTTGGCTCTGATTTTTCTGTATTGAAGAATTCTTTAAGTTTTTTTGGACTCAGAACCCCGTCACACACACCACCATCATCATGATGTTATTATTGCAAATAGGTTCTCATGTAGTCTAGGCTGGCCTCAAGCTCACTGTGCACTTGGGTACAAGGCAAGAATATGGTACACTGTTGTGTGACAAACATTTTCCAGGGGAGGCACAGTACACATGATACTCACCCAGATAGGAATCCTATGACAGCAAAGTCTGAATACCACCAAAGGCCATCTTGAAAACCAGTGAGTTTTATTGGGGTTCCTTACAGGAGCAGAACTGACTCAAAAGACAGTTGCATCATCAAAGGCCACCCCAGAATGGGTGACAGATCACAGAGCTGGGAACCTAGAGCACACTGAGCAGCTGACAGGCAGCTTACTTAGGCTGGCGAGTGCTGTTTCCATGTGACTCAGTTGGACTAAATCTATTCCAATCAGCTGGGCTGGTTTCTGCTGCTTCCAGTCAACCCATCTGGTCTGAGTCCTCTTTGCAACTTGACTTGTCTTACAGTTTGCCTTTGTAGCTTCTAGGCAGCTTTTCCTGAATCTGGCAGGGCGGAGCTTAGTGAATCTGGTCAGTTTCAGGGGTTTCCTGAAGTTGTTTTGAGTTGTTCATCTCCCTGCTTATTAAAGACCTTCCATGCAGGGTGGCATGTGTCAATCTAGGAGGAAGATACAACATACTCATACATGCATTCAGGTAAGACACTCATACACATGAAGTGGATGAATAAGAAAATATGTGGTATTTTATGAGAAGCGAATGTGGTAAATTTGAGCACAGAAGTTACTTTGGTGCTGTAAATCTCTAGCCTAGAACCTCGTCTGTTGCTCAATCCTAAATGCTTTCCTTTTCTTTTGTTTTCAAAGTTTACATTTTATAAAGTTTACATAATTGAACTACAAAGGTTCAATTAGTACAGAAAAATTATCCGCATATTGTCATATCTAATTATTAGCTGATGATACATCTAATGTATTAATTTGCTTTTACATGATTAAAAATGGGAAAAAGACATTTCAGATTCATTTACCTGGACTTACCATCCCGTAATTGGTTTGACTCATAAATTTCATGTCTCCATAGCTATTTGGTATATTTAATTATTACAAAATAAAATTTTGCCTAATATCTGTCAAAGGTGAAAATAGAGTGGTCTGTTCTTTTTTATGGTCGTGAGGGAACCAAGCTCACAAAGAAGGAGGTAGGAGTTTAGGAAGAATAGAAGTAAGTGTATCATTAATAGAATCAACAGGAAGTTTGAGTAAATTAAAAATTATCCAGACACCTGGTGTGGTGGCAGGGGTTCAAGGCCAGCCTAGTCTACCAGGACAGCCAGGACTCTGTAAAGAGACCTCAGAAAACAAACAAATGAAAAGTCATTCAGAAGGTAAAGCGTTATTTCGGAGTGCTGCAGGAGGGAGGCTAGATCCCAGATAAGAGATCCAGGATAAGGGAAGGGTAGCATCTTAGAGACAGGGCAGAGCTGTCACACCTGTACCCTAGCACTTGGGAGATGGAGACAGGAGAAGCTGGAGTTCAGGGCTAGCCTGGGCTACATGAAGTCCTGTCTGTCTCTCCTGGATTGTCTGTCTGTTCTTCTCTCACACATACAGTGGACAATTAAATGATTTTTAAGATTATGGGAGACCAACATAATTAATGTTTCAAATTTTCATTTATTAATTTTTCATGGGGAAAATGGTCTTTCTGTCTCACTAGTTCATCCAAAGTTGATAATATCGAGAGTTTCAGTATTGGAAAAACCTCTTGGATATCACATAGTCTTAGTGTTTTTATTTAGACTTGGCCGCATCTCAGAATCATCCAGAAAAAAAATTACTTAACACTACTAGTAACTGGGGGTGAGGTCCTGTTACTGTCTTTTAAAAGCCTAGCTTGATTCTCAGGGCAGGAAGGGTTGAGAACCTTGTGTGTCCATGCTTCCTGAATGAAGCATCCAGTGATATTATGGTATATTAGAGGGTCAGAAAAATTAATGCATGTTCTTACAGTGTCCACTTCCCTCTATGAGGTAAGTTATGAGTCATTTACATAGCCTGAGAGAGAATACTATGTAATATTATTGTGACGATTAAATGTGAATCCCTGGTGTTTAAGCATTTCAGAGGTAATCAGTAAATATTGATGGGATGGTGGTGATGAAGGTGAAGATGAAGGCAGTGTGCAACCTGAGCCTGCCTGGGACAAAAGGCGTCGGATTCAGAAGCATTCGTGGCAGGACGGCCAGGGCGCAGTTACTGTACTGTCTGCAGATACTTGTTAACCTTGTGGACAGTCATTTGCAATTACATACAAGCACATTTTCACCTCAAAAGAAGGTTTCTGGCAGTTATGTGTCCTGTTTTTCACT